GAGATAAGTACGAACCCCAGTAGGCAGCAATCCCTTGTCCAGCTCTGTCCTTATTTAATGTTCCTCTAAGACTCCATTTTTATCTCCCAGTCATAATCTGCCATAATCTCATCTGGGTCCTGGTATTATCTATTAGGCTGTCTAAATTGATGTTTATTCCTCTGTCCTTTTATCAAACCCCTGTGACAACTCTGAAAATGCCTTCAGCCGCTTTTTCCTGTCACGATTGTAAGATTTGATATTATCTAGATGGAAGCAGAAACAATATCGACAGACAACGGAACAAAGAGCGTGTGCACACACAGATACACCATGCTAAATGTCAGGTTTAATTGGATGTCTATCATTTGAATATCGCCTTTCAATACCAAATAAACAGCACAACTTCACAGATGACAGGATCCAACGATAATGGGCACCTAAGGGTAACAAATGCAGCCATCTCTGGTATCCACAGCTGCTGATGGAGGACAAATACCAACTTAAAAGTGAACTGAAGGGCACTCCAGTTTGCATCTTCTTTGTTTGTTTAGTACTTTAGTGCATGCTCGGCATGTCACATCCAGTTCACCTTGGAGAAGTATGACAGCAGTTGTAGCTGGTGGCATATGAGAGGAAAAGGTGGGTGAGGGTTTATTTGTTTGTTTAACACAGATATTGTTTGATTAATTAAAAAAAAAAAACATTTAATCAAAAGAAAAACCGACTATCTGCCTCAGCAGGTGTCAGCCGGACTTACAGTGTTGCTTTGTAGATCATGTCAGAGGTTTATCCTGGTAAATCTTTGTGGTTCACATGAATTCCACTTACTTCTTTTTCCTGCCTCCCTTTCTGCCAAGCTCCTATGCCTTCCTCAAAATAAACTGCATTAACTACTATGACTCAATTACTTTATATCTGCTGGCATTATAAATTCCACATTTAAAAGCTTTTAGTCAATGACTAAACACTGCAAAGTAAGTGAAGTTGGCCCTTATGGTGATAAATGTTGTATTTGTAGATTGCTACCACGATGATAATGTTCTGCTGGTTGGCTGGAGCCTGTTTGGAGGCGGCACAGGGCTACATTAGAGCACTCTGTTGCCCAAGTGCTCAAGTTTCTCCCACACTTCCTTAAAGGTATCTGCTTGCTAAGTTAGCTATAGGTGGGGATGTGAGTATGAAGGGTCTCTTGTTGTGCCTCCCTCCTGACCCTAGCTGGACAGGCAGTAAAGAAATGAATGGATAATATGCAGAATGTGACTGTGAGCCTTCAGGACAAGTCGATGCAAAATCGCAGACCAGATATCGTTCTTGAATGTGGAAACATTATCCAGCAGTCTCATCTATGGCACGCTTAACCTGCTGGTTCTGCAACTGTCCACCATCTAACACGACCCTCCATAAACTTTTAAACTTTTGTCATGATACGACTGAAAGCTTGGAGAGCAAGTGTAACGGTAGCTGCGTGCACCTGGAGCAACTTCATCAAACACCAGGAGGAGGAGGAGACATCCCTCGTGTTTTGGAGGAGATGGGGAGGGATGAGAGGTAAAGAAGCGCGCGGAAGTGGTACCCTATAGTTTGACATACTGACCTATTGATGCGAACCTGGTGCAGGTGAAAGAAAGGTGCAAACCAGATTACAGCCACACAGAAAGTCCAAGTGAGAGATTAGTAAGCATTTGAAAAAGGAGAAGGGAGAGGGTTTAGCAGGATGAGGGAGAGGAGAGGAGAGAGGATTATGGAAGCCAGAGCCTGGATCCTAAAATAATCCTCTCAGTGCACTGGGCTCGCTGCAGTGTGTGACAAAGGCCAGCTGAGGTCTTATACTGTTGTTGCATACATGCACCACGCTGTGAAACTTCACCACTCACTTCTGAACGTGTTAGCATCATTAGTGCAGTCTCTGTTTTAGAGCTGATGGCGGTTTGATTTGTTCTTTGATTTCTGTTTCTCTGACACACACACGCACGCACACACACACACGCACACACTCATTCCATTTGACTTAATCTGGAAAGCTGGTTGAGCGCTACGTGCCCGTATGTGAAGCTCTAAGCGCCCCCTTCTTTCCATGGGCAGTGTTCTAATTTGGGTATTGCCATGGTTATATAAGATTCAGGGTCAGGAGGTCGGTGACGTTGGCGGCGAACACCAGATAGATGTGTGACTACTTCATGGCGACATGATATAATCCGAAAAAGATAGCAGATGAGGATGAGGAAGGAAACATACTGAATGCTGGGGAAGAAGAGGAAGTTTACATTTGCAGAACAAAATAAAGCTGAACGTTCCTCCAGCGTTTCCCAGCACTGTATTCTTAAACAAGGACAATCAATACACTGTGGCTCTGCATTTAAGTTTAAATGTTTTGCTTTCCTTTTTGTTTCAAAGATGTGTGGGAGAAGTCGTACAACGAGAATAGCAAAGGCGCGCAGTGTACACAAACCTCCGACAAACAATGAGCACAAATATAAAGCATGCATAGGTGGAGATGAGAGACTGATATGATTCAGGAGAAAAGTATTCACTGTGGAAAAAGACAAGAGGAGACTCACCACGCATGCACAGCAGAAAAACCAGAGAAGGAGGGGCGTAAAAGCTCTGCGTTGCTCCACTAACCTACTTACCATAATCCCTCTCTTCTCCCTATTTCATAACTGTGCCTACGTTACATGATACACTCGTCATCTCGCCCACGCCTGCAAATCAGTTATTTACATCAGAGCTGTTATTAATCGTTTTGGTGTGCTGTACGGTGCCGGGGTGTTTCTGCTGCGCTGTACACACACCTACTTCAACAAACACAAAAGGGAATCACAACAGGAATGAAAATGCATGTCATGCACAGAAGCACAGCTAAGCACACCCTACATCCCTCGCTTTCCCTCCTGATGTCTTTCTTTCTTTTATAACTACACTACACAAACACTGTGGTCAGTTCATTAGTCTGTATTTTATGGTTAAAAGATTTGCTCTCAGCTGCTTCCCAAGTCCAACATTTAGCCCGGATTTCCCCATATCAGGAAACGGAAAACAAAACAAAATGCAGCACAACAACCTGTGCTCACACTTAATTCCTCTAGCCAGATTAGTGTTTGTTAATCCTGTGATGTAATTAAGCTCTCTTGCAATGTATCCAAGTAAAAGGTAAGCTGAGCACAATCTTCATGTATATAAACATATCTATATATCTATATCTATATATATATATGGGTGTTTAGTTTGCAAATGGAGTACCACATTCTTTCAGCTAGAACATACTAAAGTAAATGGAGTGTTGTTTGTGTGACTATTCTTACTGACTTCTGTATTTACACAAGAAGTGTTTACCATTTAACACATTTTCATTCATAGAATTTATAACTATGCTAAAAACAGTTTTAACATGCATGCAGATGTCACAGCGCTGCAGTATATTTAAAGACAAAATGTTTTTCAGCCTATTATGGGTCACTTTAACAGCCATGAAGAATAAATAGATTTTCAATGTCACATGTCATCATCTCTGCTGTCAGGATCTTTACATCTCGCCTGTATGTAAGGTTTTTATGGAGGTCTAGCTTGTAGGTACAATTTTAGGCTGGACAGACTTTGCCAGTTTGTTCTTAATGATGTGATGTGTGATCATTATTTTGTATTTTGGCTTTCATTAGTGGTTTTTAAAAATACAAATGATTTGGGGACACCAGCCTGGAGCAAAAGCAAAAACTTCTGTGAAAAAATAGTCCAATTTGGACTATTTTTTCACTTAATGCTTTCCATTGATGCTGAATTAAAGTAACACACAGTATGTGGGGGTTGGGGCTGAGGCTGCTCTGTCAGCCAGCGCTGCCTTCTTCATCAGGATGGGGAACTTCACAGACTGGAATATCATAAAGGAGACTTCACTACTAGCTGACTAGAAGACCAGCATTCCCCAAGCATCACATGAGGCAAACTGGCTTCTGTGTGTCCAGCCTGGGCATTTCTGGTCCCTGTACATCTGTAGAGAGGCCTTGGTTTGCAATGCCAGCAGTACGTAAGAATGAGCTTCTTCTGAAGGGTATCTGCCCTCTCCCATAGAGGCAGGGTGAGGAGCTTGGTGGTCTGAGGTACCAGAGTAGAGCTGCTACTCCTCCACATCCAGAGGAGCCAGCTGAGGTCATATGGGAATTTAAATGGAAAGGGACTGGTTCTTATCTAGTGCTTTCCTCAGAGCCCTATGCAACATGCCTCCTTCATAAAGGCACTTCCCATATGGAAAAGAAATAGTAAAAACATATATGATTTACTCATGAAAGTGGCCAATTTCTCATTACTTTCATATATCTTTTTAGTATGTATACAAAACATACAAGTTTCATTATATAATTTGTATAGTTTTCACTCTTGTATGCTTTTCATACAAGTTTCATACAAGACAGATAAAAACTTTATAAGATTTATATATATCTTTTCCATATGGGTTGGACTGGAACAAACGACCAACCTTCCAATTAGTGGATGACTGACTCTGCCTCCTGGGTTACAGCCATCTGACCAGGATCACCCCTGAACACCTCCCAGGAGAAGTGTTTGGGTCATGTCCTTCCAGGAAGAGGCCCCAGGACAGACCCAGGATTACATCGCTCCAGCATATCCTGCATGGATGGCTGGTTATGCTGCTTTACTTTAAATTACGACTGAAAACTATATTAAAAAATAAATATATGTATATGTGTATATATATATATATGTGTGTGTGTGTGTGTGTGTGTGTGTGTGTGTGTGTGTCATTATTTATATACCTAATAAAGCTGTGATAGTTTGAGTTTTTGTGTTTGCTGCTCTCTGAGTGTTCTCACACTCAATGATGGGGGGGTCTTGGGGGTCTCGGGGCCTCCCTGGCAGTCTGCGCGTGCCGCAGGTCTGCAGGAGGAGAGTAAACAGTTCCCACGCTGGTCTGCTGCCGGTCTGAAGTGACACACTGCCACACTTTCCCACGCACGCGAGAGCCTCCTTAAAGCGCGAGGGGGAGGGGGAGCGCGCGTCAGCTCTCTGGGCACGAGGCGGGCGGGCCGCGGGATGAGGATCATGTGTAGTCCACGCGCCGAAACTAGGTTAGAGCGAACCGCGCAGCAGAGAGGAGCAGAGCGCAGAGCAGGCCTGGAGTTTCCCGCAAACAGAACGCACATAGCGGAGGCGTGCTGTCACACACTTGCGGGTTACGGATCCATATGAGGAGTCGTTGTTGTGACGGTTTCCAGCGGCTCCGGTGTGGAGCGAGTAAGTGCGCGTTGCTGTCACAGTTCCTTGGCTTCATTTCCACGCGGACATTTATGACCCCAACAGTCGGTTAGACCCACGGCAGACATGAGAGGTGAGGTTTCTTTTCTTACTGTGGAAAACGTGACTTTTGGGTGTATTTGCGTGTTTGTTCGTGCGCTAGCGGCCGCAGAAAGTTTCCGACTACGCGCAGCTGATCGGACGTGAAGTTACCAGCTGTCACTTCAAAGACTGCCAGGCTCGTTTGCACACTTTTGACACAAAGAGTGAAAAATATAATTTTAAAAAGAGGGTCGTGTTAAACATAGATTATGGCCGTGAGCGCGGATCCGAGCAGGGATTCGTGATTAGAGGAAATCTAATCGGCGAGCGGCTCCGGTTATGTAAGAGGCAGGGAGGAGGAGGAGAGCGGAGTGATTCGTGGCTGCACAAAAACCTGCAGCCAGGATTGTTTACGTTATTTCCAGCATCAGCTCTCAGTGATTATTAACCTTCCTACTGTTTATACTTACAGACACGCTTTAGAAGTAGTTTTACTGTTAACATGTTAGAGCTGCCTGCTGTGTGATACAGTTTACTACTACTACTAATAATAATAATGATAATAATATGGAGGTTGTTTGAGTTTCTCTTTTGTCCCAGTGTTTCCTATAATTCATAAATCAGAGAGTTTTGTGTTTTCAGACTCGGTTTTTCTGTGAAAGAGAGAGAGGAGGTGCTCCATTGACCTAGTTCTGTCATTGAGGATTACGGCGCGTGCGTGAGTGCGCGTGCATGTACACCGATACTGTTGTCAGACTAATAAAACACAGTCGATCATTTCCTTCAGGGATGTTTTCATCGGATGGGAGCTGAGCTGGGACAGCCTGCTGTCTTTAAAGATTCAGTTTTCTTCAAAGTTGCAGATAAAATAATGGGACACAAACGCGTCTCCTCCTCTCATGTGCGTGTTGTGTTTGGAGTTGACTTTGCCCGTTTCAAATGGCTTTTGCGATGCTGGACCATCATGCACACCGCTGTGACAGGCAGGATATGGACACAGCAGGGTTACAAGACACAGCCACTCACAACACAAATGTAAGCTAGATCTTAAAGTGCACTTGAATTTGGCCTTTTCCAGAGTCATGAGTGTAACTGAGTTTGAGGCGGGTGGGTGCAGAGAGTTTCATACTCGGTGCCGCTGCATTTGAGCTCAGTTACCCGCCCCCCAATCAAAGGCACGGTGGCAGTAAAGAGGGACGCCGTCTCTGCTGTCCAAGGACACTGCTGTGCTGAGCTCAGCATCAAAGCCACTATCTGTGGGCTGTGCAGCCTTGGGGAAGTTCACAGCAAGTTACTGTATGTGTCAAGGTGCCCTTTGTGTCTGACAACTGCATGCTAAGATTCCAGTCCTCTTATCTAAAGCTTTAACTCTTCGTGTAACCTGCAGGCTGCTGTGTGAGCACAGTGTGACAGCTCTGTGTGTGTTATGACTGCACTTCATTCTGCAGTCACTGTGTTAAAAATATCATTTTGTTCTCTTTAACATTTGTTTAGAGTAAAAAGTATCATAATCCATTATCATTTGATAGGTGTGCTAATACACGATAAGCATTTCTGTGAAAGCAGATAACAGACATGCGAACAGACGTAAAGAGATTTTAATTCAAGGTGACTGTGATTGTTTCTGCACAGTCCTGAATTTGTTCCTGCTGTTTGCAGCAGCGAGCGCGATTACATGCTGGGAAGCGAATTCCTCAGTCCGTCTTTGCTTGTGTTGCACAGGCCCACTTGGGTTTGAGCTTGGAGTAGCGCGCACACACACACACACACAGCCAGCTGAATGCACTTTATCTTTTCTGATCAATGGTGCGGGATTACAGAGACCCGCTTTCTCGGCAGACGCAGCACTGTGCTCAGCATATAATTATTTAATACAAGGCAAACAAAAAAGTAGAATGAAGGCGTGCAAATATTTATATTAAGGCAATCACTTTAAATGTTTAATTGTTAGCAGTGTAATACAGCCAGTGTAAAAACGTGAAGAGAAACACCCTTTTAATCTGGCGAGGCTGACGTGTGCAGACAGGCTTGTGTACGGCACATTGTGTATATGCACTGACGTGGCTGGCTTCCAGTGATAGGCTGGTTATACTTCTCATTACATTTGTCTGAAAATCTGAGATAATTAGAAGAAAAAGTGTACTGTGGGAGTGTGACATCCTCTGTGTGCAATAAAATGTTTCATTTCACCGCAGATCAATCTATTACGCTTGCAGCACATTTTTAAAATGTTCGGGGTTAGTGTCAGGCCACACTGTGCTCCATAGGTAGGTCAGTGGGAGGAGAAGAAGAGAAAAGGCAATCATTACTCCTCATCTACCGGAGCTGTACAGAAAACAGGTGGCCACTGGGGCCCTCAATGGGAAACCTGTAGAAAGTGGGTAATTGAATAACCTGGCTGCAGCAAGCTCTTCAATGGCAACCAGTCCTCATGCTATGTTGCACAAAACCATATGCCGTGCTATACCACGCATGCCCCGGATACCCGTTCGATTATGGGTTAAGTGTACAATATGTCAGGTAAATGTAAAGTCTAGGGCAAATAGGACCTTGGACGGTATTTGATTAGCTGGGATAAGAGGGCAAAGTCTGCCTCGCTCACTGTTTACAGCGCTGACAAAGAAAGAAGTGTTGAGTAACTGGCACAAAAGAGACTTTTACATGAAAACCTCTTTGAATTGGAAGGTTTCAAAGGCCGTAAACCTGATGGAAGAATAATTCTTTTTGAATTGGAGGTTCCAACAGGTAGCACAGCCACAGGTAGCACAGCCTGTGAGGTAAAAGTTTACATATTTGAGCTCGATCAAGCTTCACTTATACAGCTGGTGTCAGTTAGTACTGAAGCCACTGATCACTGAGCTAATATTAGGTTCTAATGTGACTGTGTCTAAAAACACACAGATTTCTGGGCTTAAACATACAATCTGGCATTGAAACAAAGAGGAGTTTCTTTGTTTGGTCCTGGAACAAAAATGAATGCTGAGAAATAAACAGGGCGAGAATAAAGACGCTCTTGTTCAGACCCGTCCTGCACAGCAACATGTTTATGAATCACAGCAGCGTGTGTTAGCCTTTAGGGCTCGGCATGATTAATCTACAGGCTGGTATTTACACAAAATCAAGTGTACTTATGTGCAGCATTTTAGTTTATGCAACATTTATTGGTTTATTTGGCAAAGAGCCCCTGAGAGCAGGGGAAATCTCTGCACAGCCACTCTGCACCAGGGTAAAAATAGATTTATGGCCAAGCTCAAAGTCAGATGCGATTTCACTCAAACACCTGACATGCTGTAACAAGTTAAGACCTACTATTTGCTGCGTCTGCCTGCGTTTTACTGTACGACATGCTGCTGGAAATAAGTTGGATATTTGTGTCTTCAGTCTAGTCTCCTTCTATAATCAAATGTTACACCCTTGTCTTTCTAAACCAGAAGCAGGAATCCACCCCGCCTGTACTTAAAGACCGAGTCAGGTCTGATTCCACCTTAAAACCTGCCAGAAGCAGGATTGTGTTCCTTGCAGGCTGCCAGCGCAGGCGCCTCCCCTCCACTGAATGGGAAACTGTGTCAGTGGAGCAGCTCTTGTTTGCTGAGCTTGGCTGTGCCGCTCAGCTGACTGGCAGGTGAGGCTGCGACTCACAGGCCTGACTTCTCCCTCGAAAGCCAATAGGAGCGCAGGAGGGTGTGGGACTTTCGTCACACTGTTGCCGGGACAACCACCTTTGAATGAGTTAGTTCGTGGAATGCAGGCAGATGCAGTTATATAACAGGCTGAAGGGCGGGGTAAGGCTCTGAGGGGGGAGCGATAAAGGGAGCAGTGGAGAATGGGACTTTTTTTTTTCCATTGCCTTTTATTTATTTATATCCCACACTTACGTTTCAGTGTCTAGCTCGTTCTAGATAAACCAGATCCTTAAAGATATGTCACCTGTGCTGCACACAAAACTTCTCTATAAGGCAAAAATAAGGGGAAATTAATGAGGCAATAAGTCAAGATTTGCAGGATGTCAGTCACCGATCCGTCTAATTTAGCCTCAGTGTGTGACGCAGGTCTCTCCCCACGCAGAGTGACTCATGAAATTTATTGGTTGTGAGTGGTTTAAATCAGCCCCTTCAGAAAACAGCAATTTTCTCAAAAGCTCTGAAGACCAGTTAAATCCTTTTGTGTGATTTACCGGTTACCTAATGCCCCTTGTGACCCAGCAAAGGTGGTTTAGTGGATTGTTTGGTGCGGCTGAGAGCCCTAGAAAAATGGGATTTTGCACACAGCATACACGGCGACAGTCAGCGTGGCAGTAATAGCTGCTGTTTACCCGCTAACATTGTGTTCAACCTGGAGGAAAAGCTACAGAGCAAGAAAGAGCTGTGAAACTTTATAACCCAGGGCCTCAGCTAATGCAATTGACCTGCTATTCTGGGCTCGAAGGAGGCCCGGCTACTTAGATAAACAACATAATGAAAAGAACAGCCTGTTCCTCGGTAAGAAGGCTCAGGCTTTCAGTGAACTCCACGGGTGTACTGTGTACGTTTCTTTTGTGTTCCTTCTCCTCCTAACATAATCACAAATGTGTCTCATCTTCATCCGCTGCATTTCAAATATCGTGCCGCAAAGATGATGCAATGCCAGTTTCTGTGAGGAAAAGTGCGCCAAAAAGTCTCCTATGCACGGCCGCCACTCGATCTCAAAAAGCTGAGCGTTATGTCAGCCTGGAGTAAAGGCCTGACAATACCTGCATTCAGCATGACTGCCCTAAAAAGCAGACTCTGTTCTGGGTTTTCTGAAGAGGATTGAATCTGCTTTCATTTTCATTGAAACTTACTGATATTTTTATTATAAATGTGACCAATTCGATTTTGCCAGTAAAATCATAAAGAAAAAATGTTTCTGACAGTTAAAAGCAGATATAAATAATTGATCAACTCTTGTTTTAATAAAAGGTCCAAAAATATTGAGAAACGCCGCGAGCAGAGCAACAGGTTTGCTGAAAACAGGTTAACGTTTCAGGCGTCGCCCCCGCTGAGAGATTTTAACGATGAACGAGTGATGGATTACGTCCTTTTTATGTTTTGTGTTTTATGTGTACTCTGTATAAATTGTATCATATTTCTGTTATTGTCACATTTGTTCTGATGAATCTGTACCTGTGAATGTGGATTTCATAGTTTCTCGTTTTTCTGCACTTGTCTCTCTCTGCAGCTCAAATAGAAGTCATTCCCTGTAAAATCTGTGGGGACAAATCATCAGGGATTCACTATGGTGTCATCACCTGTGAAGGCTGCAAGGTGAGCAACATTCATCAGCAGTTGGTTTAAAAACAGGAAGAGCTGATCTTTAGAAAGTGTCGATGCGTTTTGTCAGATGCGCCCCTCACGTCTGCTTTTGTTTGCAGGGTTTCTTTCGGCGCAGCCAGCAGAACAATGCCATGTACTCGTGCTCGCGACAGAGGAACTGCCTAATCGACCGGACCAACCGTAACCGCTGTCAACACTGCAGGCTGCAGAAGTGTCTCGCTCTGGGCATGAGCCGCGATGGTGAGTTCGCTTACAAGATCTGTATTTAATTCACTCCAGTTTTCGCCCATCACAGTGGTGAGACGCTAACGCTTGTTTTACCGAGACCTTTAAATGTTTCGTTTTTCCCCACTGCAGCTGTAAAGTTTGGTCGAATGTCCAAAAAGCAGCGTGACAGCCTGTACGCAGAGGTCCAGAAGCACCAGCAGTCCCAGGAGTGCGGAGGGATTGGTTCCCGCGAGGAGAAGAGCGACACGGCTGACCATGGCCGTACCTACAGGAGAGGCTCCAGCGCCACGCTCAGCGATCTGGACGACATCACAACGCTGCCGGAGGGGCTGCTTTTTGACCTGCCGCTGACCCCGGACGATGGCGGAGGAGACTACTGTAACCTGGATATGATGGGAGGAAGTGCAGGCAGCGGCTCCTCCTCGCAGAGCTCCCCAGAGCAGACCAGCTTGGACTTTGGTGACGGAAACCACAGCATCAAGCATGAGTACCAGCTGCTGCATGACTCTGGACTCTTCTCACACGCCATCTTCAACCCGCTGCCTGACGGCTGCTCCCTGCTCGAGATAGGTCAGCATCAAACCCTCTAATAAGACGTTCATGAATATTAGAAACCTCTCGAATGCTCTTGCAAATCTAAAAACAGAAACTAAAGTAAGACTTTCTTTTGGTTCAGAGCGCGTTGCCCAGAATGTGGTCAAGTCCCACATCGAGACGAACCAGTACACCTCGGAGGAGCTCAAGAGAATGGCGTGGACCTTGTACAGCCCAGAAGAGACCCGCTCATACCAGACCAAGGTAAACTTTAGACAGATTATTGCTGACAAATTTGCTGCTGACCTAAACGAGTGCAGAGTCATTTTTGAGGGTTTTTTGTTGCTGCTGCGAGTCCAACTGTAAACTCGCAGAAGTTGGTGAAACTGTAAAACAGAGTAACACAACACAGCTGGTATCGTGCGCACCATTTCAGCCGCCGTTGTGCGTTTACATTGTTTTCCCTGGAAATCAGTCACACGGCCTCCGTGCAAATTGTGAAAGTCAGCGAGCGACTGTTTGTTGAGAAACAGTGAGACTTTATGACTTTATAATTAGCTAATCTGACACAGTGGGACAAAAATGATGTGCAGCGTGATTCCAGCTTGTTAATCCTACTCTGTAAACTCACACTGTCCTTTACAAGGTTATCAAAGGAATGCTTTCAGTTTTTACAAAGCGCAGAAATCAGAGGTACGACTTGTTGGAATGTTCCTTTCTTCGTTGTCGCTTTAATCTGAACATTCGTACAGGAAGGCCACAGATGGACACTGCAGATTCACACGAGATGCGTGAAATACTTTAAACCACACTGTACGACCGAAACCCCCCCCCAAAAAACTGTAACCATGCCAAACAACTTGTTTAATGTCTCATGTGTTGCTTTAATCCGATGGCCTTCCTGTGTTTGTCTTTCTCTTGCAGTCAGCTGAGGCGATTTGGCAACAGTGTGCCGTTCACATCACCAATGCAATCCAGTATGTGGTGGAGTTTGCTAAGCGCATCTCTGGCTTCATGGACCTCTGTCAGAATGATCAGATTATCCTCCTCAAAGCAGGTCAGTACATGACACACACAAACACAAACGCTTTATTTTAGCTCTCTCAGATCAGAACATCGCAGCTCAAAGTGGTCCCATTGCATTTTAAATCAATATAATTTATGTGTAGTTTTGTGTAAATCTAAATCTTCGCCTTTGTGTATTGTTGTAGTAGAGCATCTTTACTGGAAATGTTGTTGTTGTTATTAATGTGTCAGTCACATGTGGGATTATTTGAAAAATGAAATAAACCGAACATGTGACTGTGGTAACTGGTTTTATCGTGTTTGATCTCTGCTCAGTATGAATGTGTTTATCCTGAATGGCTTTTTGTTTGTGTCAATAGGCTGCATGGACGTCCTGCTCATCCGCATGTGTCGGGCCTACAACCCCATCAATAATACAATGCTCTTTGATGGAAAATTCTCCACTCCTCAGCTTTTCAAAGCTCTTGGTGAGTCCACACGTTTACGGTCTCTTCCTGGCTTGCTAGTTTTCTCTCCAAACAACTTTTATGAAGGGAAGAGCGGAGGATTTTAGGTCATTTTTAAATTGTTTACCGTTCTCATCACAGCCACTAGATTTTTGTTCTGATGCCATTTTTTTCCCTCTCTGTCCCCGAAGGCTGTGACGACCTTGTGAATGCGGTGTTTGACTTGGCTAAAAGCCTGAGCCGTATACAGATGTCTGACGAGGAGATTGCTCTTTTCAGTGCTGCTGTGCTGCTCTCGCCAGGTGAGATGACAGGAAATCACCCACTCACACATGCTAAACTGGTGTAACTGATATTCGGTGCGTCCGAGTACCACCTTGATGCTCTGGTTTTGTTTTTCTAATGCACGTAGAAGGGTCAGTACAGGTTTTCTGCCTGGGATCTGTAAACTTATAAACCTTTTTGTTGGGGATTGATTGCTTGATTGATTGAAGCTTCCCTGTTTTGTTTTTTTTTACCTTAAAAATGAATGAACCTGTCCGGATGTCCTACAAATGTAGCATAAGAACTGTGTCTGCATGCTGGGTTTGAACAGGTTTCAATGCAGTTCAAATTTACCTCACAGTACTAGCGCTCACAAGATATTTATAAACCCCATAATTTGCTAAATGTTCTGGCACAAGCTGAAAACTACTGTTGGCCTTTTACCAAAGCATACTATTGATGAATGAATGATTCATCTTCACCCCTACCTTGCAGCCCGCCTACATCATCATTGTATCATAGTATAAAAGTGAAACTGAAACCATGGCGACTGTGGTTAAATTGTGGATGTTTAACAGTCAATAAAAGCTCACGTTTTGGAAAAAGGTGTGCAGTCCTGTAAAACACAGACAGTTATATATATACTTTTTTTTTTATAGCAAAACAATATAAAACTACTTGTAAAAAGCTTCATGTTTTGTTTATATGTAGTTACACATTTAAAACTTACTGGGTTCAGATCCAAACAATGACCCGATGTGACTGCCTTCTCTTTCAGACCGACCCTGGCTGACGGATGTTCAGAAGATCCAGAAGTTGCAGGAGAAGGTTTACGTGGCTCTGCAGCGCTGCTTACAGCGACAGGGAACATCAGAGGAGAAACTGGCTAAGGTACAAAGCCTGCTGCAGCTCCTGTATCACCATTATTTTGGCTAAAACACCCTAATATTTTAACATTTACTGGAAGTTGTGTCCACTTTAAATCCTTAATCTTTTCTACATTTCTCTTCTAGATGGTGTCTAAGCTTCCCACGATGAGGTCCATTTGCAACCTTCACATTGACAAACTGGAGTTTTTCCGTCTGGTTCACCCAGAGACGGCGTATACGTTCCCTCCTCTGTATAGGGAGGTTTTTGGCAGTGAACTCACGTTCCCAGACTCCACAGAGGGCTAGGGCTATTTAGCTAAGTGCTGTGAGTCATATAGTGACACTGAGGTGCAGGGAGAGGAAGATTCAAATGTGGCAACCAGCTGAAGGAACACCAGCCAGCAGCTCAATGACAATCCTGCATGCTACGCTTTAGCGCACACTCCTCTCACCTCTGGCTCTCACTGCTCTGCGAGCCAGTCCTTTAAACCTAACACGACAGGAAGTGCTGCTGGGTAATCCATGCACTTTACCTCCTTTTAGGGAGTTAAAGGAACTATTCAAAAGTAGCCTACGCTCTTTGTATTCTCAAAATTATTTTTCTATAAGACCTTAAACCTCTCGTTAGGTTGAGTTCTTTTCTAATAAATTGGACTCTCGCCGCTCTCACAGTTCCTGTAAGCTATTGTTGAATGTACCCCCCGTTCCCTGAACCATTCAGCACAGCCCTGCGCTTGATATAGAATGTACATACCTAAAATCCTCACCTACTTTGTGGAGATTTGCAGTAACGATGCCTGTTTCCATCGTCAGTCTAGTAACTGTTAATTGTTTCTTTAAGTATTTTTGGTAGCACCCATATTTTTTCAGTTTTCTAACATATGAACAAACTGTTTAAAGGGACCATGATCAAACTCTCGAGCAGACAGAGTTTTTAAACTGTGTGGGTCATGGGCGAACATTTAGCGTCTCTGTTGCCAAGCACTTGGAAAGTCTTGCACACGGAGTACAAAACTTAGCGTTTACGCTGAAAATGTCGTAGGTATTTTTATGAGCACACCCTCAGACACTGACGTAAGTGATCTCTCTATTTTTTTTTAATCTAATCAGTGACCTCAGTCCTATTACCTTTTCCCTTTGCGAATGCCACTTAGAGAGACGCACACAGAGCTATTGTGGGTCTTTCGGAGAGAGACAGGCTGTTGCTGAGATGTAAAAATGTAAACTAGCACTTACGAGTCCTCCTTAGAATCAAAAAATGACCTCTGGGCACGAGATGTTACGGGTTCGCGCTCATGCTAAACCAGTGAGAAACACTAAATAAACCCTCCCGCTGCCCAGAGTCCAGCCCCCGAGAGGTTATCGTGCCCCCCGGAGGATCCCCTCCTTACCGTCGCCACCCACAGGTTCAAAAGACTCGGGATTAAAGAAAGCTCTTGAATGTGACAGTTAGTGTATCACCACCAGTATGGTTGGAGGTAGGTGGATGGTGGTGTTAGAAGATTTCCTTTCTGCTCAGGTCCTCGCCGCTGTGGGGTCAGGCAGGCGTTCTGATCAGAGAATTCACCCTTCTGTTTCTTGTTCTCCACTCCTTTACTACCTCACCCTTTTCAAACACTACATGGCACAGCAAAGGGTTGACAGAGCCATCAGCTACCCCCCTGAGTTATTATTTCTGCTTCGTATTAGAAATCAGCAATTAGTGCTAAAATCTGAACACCAGTGCTAACTGTTTCAAAATGTACTGTGTTTTTGCTTAAAACTGGACAGGATTTGAGTGCAAATGACCTGCTGGATGTGCTTGCCCTGAGGACATCCTCTCCGATTGTCAGAGCAACTCATGCCCTTAGGTCCAGGAAGCCCGGGATAGATACAGATCTATCTTGAATCCTGGAGACGCACTCTGCAGACAGAGGGTGCGTCTTCATAGCTGGGGAATGTATTGGACTTGTGTAGAAACAAAGGAGCATCCATTCTGCCAATATCCTAAAAAGGCTGTGAAGAAATTGTAATTCTAAGTTCTATTTCGAGCATTTTTTAAGACAATCACGCGACAGATGTTGGATGTCTGCTTTTGTGTAAAAATGTAAGCCAGGTTTGCTCTGCACTGCTGGGACAGTGCTCTTCACCATACACTATATTTTGTCAGCTAGTATGAAGGGGGTGTTACTGTTGTCTTGGTACTTAAGACAGAGGCATTGTGGGATTGTGCAATGTTGTCTTTCCCATCGTTCTCAGTACATTGAGCTGTTTTTTTGCCGTGTACTATAGCTAATATTTTCATAAGCACTTTGACTAAGTTGACCTTGCGGCACAGCAAGTAACGCTATTTATAATGTAATGTACCAAATACACAGCCACCTTCTTTTCAGATCGGCTGAAAATGGCCGAACGGCATTTAGAGATTGTAACAAAGTGCAATACTTTGTGCGTCGAGCCTGAAAACGCTAGACGCGCTAACTTCATAAGATTGAGTATATTTTGTGAGGTTGCAGGCCTAAAGTCTGTCCGGGGGGCAGTAGTTACGCTCTGCACTCGCATTTCTGTTTAGAGTCACTCAGGGAGATAGCTGGGCTCTCTGTCCTACAGTGTCTGCAGTCAGTCTAGCTAGCAAGACACCTTGCACCAACATAGAAGACCTTTAAACCTTGATCACTGTGTACAGTACATGTTCTTGTGAATGTTTGATTACAGAAGTATCAAAGATTTTACCCCTGTCTAATATCATTATTGCAAAATGTTTTTTTTTGAGTTGTAGATTAAATAGGATATATATAAATATATATATCTACATATAAATATAAAAGATGGATTATAATCTCGGATTCTTGTGTTGGTTTTGTTGTGATCTTTCATTTCTAAATTTTTATCCTTTTATGTGCTTGTTTCTCATCGGTTTAGTGTCCTTTTGTCTTGGAGAGATGTAATTCTATTTTTTTTAAAGAGCGTTTTTAAACATGTCGCCCTAAACTTTCTCTTTGTCATGATCCTTCTGTTTATATTTTCACTCTATTTTAAGATTATAACTATGAAATCAATATAGATTTTAATATGGAATAATTTATGACATGTCATGAATATAAAGCCCTTTAGGGTTTAACACAGTGAAGTGTTATTGCACAATGGTGATACTATATGTGGATTTAAGAATGTAATAAAAGTGTTTTTGCAATTAAAAAGAAAGTTTGTTGTGATTTTGTGTTTTGGTGACAAGCTGCTGGTAAGAAAATTGCTTCTTTGTTAAGTTTTTGGTTGGGTTGGTTGTTGGGTGGCTTAACAAACTAAACATTCTTCTGAAAATGCTCAGGTCCAAGGACTGGGCTCAAAGTAGCTGATGTGGAAAGAGAAGCTTTGAAAGCCGTGCAGGGGGCTGGAGAACTACAGCTGAAGACCAGTTTAAAAACTTTTAAAAAAGAAAGTCAACCTCCTTAGAAGCAAAATAGAAAGCAAAGTGCAATAATGTTTAAGAGGCATCTCCTCAGCTGTGTTTCATGAGCTGGAAGATGTTTACACTGTTCTGTATTTTGTAGAGTAGGTGATGGAAAAATGTGCACCACAAACAAAGAACTGATATAATACAGAGCTTTACATAATGACCCAGGGTTTAATGTAGGCTGTAGGTCAAAGGGCACGACCAACGCACCAAACGTGCAGCAGAGAAATCATAAACAATTCCAACTTCCCAGTTATCCATGTTTAGATTTTGGCACGTCTTAATTCCTGTAACTCTCTGTCAGTCAACCCTGCCCATATGGAAAAGATATATATAAATCTTATAGAGTTTGTATCTGTCTTGTGTGAAACTTGTATGAAAAGCATATAAGTGTGAAAACAGATATAAGACCCCTTGAAAAATTATATAATGAAACTTGTGTCCCACCTGCAACTTGTCCGAAATTCAGCTATAAGGCTCCTGACGGTTACCAGAGAGAGTATTACTCGGATACTTGCATCTTTACATTGGCTGCCAGTTAAGTACAGAGTCGATTTCAAGGTTCTGTTATTTGTTTTTAAAGCTCTCCAACGCTTGGCTCCGGGTTACATTTCAGATCTCTTAGCCCGCATTAACCACTCGAACTCTGCGGCCTTCCGGTCAGATGATTTTACTGGTCCCACGCTCCCAAATAAAATCTAAAGGTGACAGTTTCTTCGCCGCCGCTCCCCCGAGACTCTGGAACAGACTTGCCTCCTATTTGGAAATCTTTAAATCAAACCTCCTTGTTTTCACAGGCTTCAGATCACTTTGAAATCGGCTGCTGGTCTATTCTGTCTTTGATGGATGATGGATGCATGTGTATATGTATATATGTATTCATGTCCATGTATGGTCCTGTGTGTGTGTATATGTATGTGCACATATATGCATGTATAGATGTAAAAAAAAAAAATAATTTTTTATCTCATTTATTTTAATTCTTTCTTTTATTTTGACTACATTGTCCCTCTGTTCAGCACTTTGGACAAGTAAAGCTGACTTGACTTGAATAGAATGCATCCCAGTACAAGCATGGAAATGTACAGCAAATCAGAAATACTTGTGTTTGAATCATAAACAAGTGCACTGTCTAAATTTAATATAATAATAAATGTTTTTGAGATTTGGTAGTAGCGTTGTAAACTTACTGCTTATCAGACACATTATTTTTTCCTCATTTGGTTTTATAAATATTTTATATCCCACTGAATGTAAAATTCTTCAGAGCGTCTTTAGTACATTTTGAAACTCCTGGTTTATTTCCTAATCTCAGGTTCTACCACGAGGAAATTGTAGTTTTTAGACATAAATATATAGAATTTACTTAAAATTGTGTGTATGTGATCAAATTACACCCGACCAGAGCACTAGCAGCCTGCGTTTTCCTGTTCCATCCAGCAGGGGGCAGTGTTCGCCAACAAAACATCCGCACTCTCGGAAACTGATTATTTCTTTGAAAAAGAGCCGTGCGGCTTTGGCGTTCTGTGTAAGGCGGGCTGGCAGTATTGAGTCACAACGTTTGTGGGTTTTCTCAGCTCGGAGAGTGCTGATCCCGCTGTCTGTGGCTCCGTGGGCCCCGTTATCTGCCGTGACAGCGCGAAGAGTCTCTCGACGTGGACGTGGTCAGTTGGCGTGTCCCGACTTGGAGTGACGGCTGTGCGGTCCTATGATTTTCCCGACACGCTCTTCGCATTGGCCCATTTTCTGAAAAACTATATCGCCAACTTCACGTATACCGCAACATTTTTCACCTCGGTTGGAAGCTGAAGACAAGACGGGCTTCAAGATGTCTGTAGCGGGCTTGAAGAAGCAGTTTTACAAAGCCAGCCAGGTTTGCAAAACTTTTCTTGCCGTTAGCGGCTAGCCTCGTTAGCATGTGCTAACGGTTTGCGGTGAGCTAATGTTTGTAAGAGTTTGTTGTGTTAGTTTGTGGTGACAGCAGCAGACTGTCCGTGTCAGCGTGAACTGTTTCTGTGGGTTTAACACTTAGCTTGTGTCTGTCTACTTTTATTAAACCATCCTAACTAACTAACTTTGGCCGATGTGAGGTTAACTGTAAGACCGCTTGCATGGTCCGCAGGTATCACAGACTCTCAGGGAGTCTGTCTTCTGTAGCTTCTGACTCGGTATCCTGTGGTAAACATTAGCTGTGCCGCAGGGACTCTCCGGGTGAGTCAGAGCTCTCACTTAAAACAAAAGTGTTGGAACTCAGTCCGAGTTTGCAGAATGCACTGAAACCACTTCATCTCCATCGGTGTAACCTGCAGAACGTCTGCTTTCAGCACAGCTGTCTCTTTTCCAGCGGTGATTTTTAGGCTGGGCTCGGATCGGTATTTAGGGCAGCTGAGAGGAGTAAAAAACACAGCACTACATACCACTGTGATAAAAATGCCCCTACTCGCACTAGAAATGTAAAAGTCATGATTCTGGCGTCTGAGCCTCGGTGTGAATGTTTTTAATTTAGGCCATCTCTCAGTGATGGGAGGGGACGGTTTGAGAGGGTTTTTTGGAGGCGCTTTTCTTCCTACCCTGCTGATCTAAGCAGGAAAGACATTTGGGTTCTGCCCCAGCTTCCTGTCAGGAACAGACACAGATCCCTGTTGGTTTGCGTTTAACGGGGAAAATAAGATGATTTAGAAGCTTCGTGTCGAGGTTAGCAGCTCTTACTCTACTGAAAATCATCAGGAGAAGAGATTAAGTGGATTGGTGCGTTAGCAAGTGACCCCAGAAATGAGGTGGAAAGAGTGCGCTTTCCCTTTATTTGACTGCATTGCAGCTGCTCCTGTTGCCAAAACTCCATGAGAGTCAATAACAGTCACATAGCTCAGATTTTCTACACTGGAGGCATGCAGGAAGTTGGCTGTGGAAATGATATCTGTGCCTCGCTCCTCTCATCTGCTTGTTTTTCTCTTTTAACGTCTCTCTTTCACTTGTACTTGTTTTACGAGATAAAATCTTCAAGCCTGGGATGTTCTCGTACAAATTCTGGGTGGGACGAGTTTTTAGTACTGAATGAATACTTAGATACTTAGAAAGCAAAGTACTTTCATGTGAGAGTAACTCTGAATACATCAGCCTTCACGTGATTTAATGGTTGACAAGAGGCAAATATCAGACACCTTTTGCATCGTTTATTTTGTTAGTTTAATAAAACAAAACTTGGCTGATTCTAGTGTGCAGTTAGGAGGAATTATGAGTGAGTAGTCATAGGAGAAAGTCTTGATATGCAGTGTTTATTATTATCTGTCATCTTAAAAATGTTTCTATAAAAACATTTTGTTGGACCACAGCGCAGGCTTAGAAACATCAGCCAACGTTATTCTTTTTAGCTCATGATACTGGGTATTAATAATAATAATAATAATAATAATGGATACTTTATTGATCCCCATGGGGAAATTACTTGTTTTTCTCTGCATTTGACCCATTCACTCAGTGAAGCAGTGGGCAGCCCACTAAGCAGGCGCCCGGGGAGCAGTGTGTAGGGACGGTACCTTGCTCAGGGGTACCTCAGGGTAGCCGTTAAGTGGATTCGAACCGCCTAACGGCTACCCTGAGGTATTAAGACGCTGCATTCAGAAAAGGATTAGATTACTGGTGAAAGGAGATTACATTTTGATGCAGACTTCATCTGGGATTAAAACCATTTATAGGAGCGATATTTCATCTGCCGTATAATCCCAGAGCTGCTTTTTATCACTCAGAGTCAATTTTTGGTAAAGTGTGCCGGTGAAAGGATGCTGGCATTGGTGTTTAAATAAATAGACAGCGTCCTTTATTTTTGCCTGTGTGTGCATGATGTTCTTACTGCTGAAAGGCACAGAAAAGACTCCCTTCTACAGCTAGTCCATCTAAGAATTATTATCATTAGATAAACCATTGTTTTAATAGCGAATGTCTGTGACGTGAAGTAACAGAAACAACCATTCGCATCCTTTGTATTTGCTGGAGAAAACTTGAAAATGTGGGATAGCTGGTGGCTACTCGGGACAAGTCATAGTATATGACAAGGCCTCCCTTATACCTTCACTTTGATAGCAGGCTCATCTCTTAGCCATCATTTCATTCTGTGCCAAAATAAATTTCAAGTATAGTCGTACTTTAATGCTTACAAATAAAAAGAAACCGGAGTGTTCTTGGATGATTGGGTGGGATTTTTCCCACATTTGACTTGTTTTGTACAAAATTACATAAATGTGATTTGGATAAACGTGACTCGTGATGATGATATTATGAAATCATATTTTTGATAAGAGTTGAGCATTAAGTTGGGAATCACTGAGTAAGACTACTTTTAGCAGCTTCTGATTTTTGTACAAGTTTGACACCAGTGTGATAAAGTACTCTGATTCATCATCGGCTTAATTTGCTGCTTTAGTCAGCAGTACAGTCTTTGGAACAATAGATCGGGGGGTTTGAATCCTGACCAGGGCCAAAGGAGGAGAGAAGCCACTGACATCAAGCGTATTATCATGCATGAAGGGTTTCACCCTGAGACTGTACGCTAAGCAAAAGGCAGGAGGCCGAGGACAGAGTGTCAGAATGATTATCCAGGACAAGACAAAGATCCATGAGTACGTGAAACTTCAGGAAGATAGCCTCAAACGATCATGTGCTCAGCAGCCACATAAAGCTGGTTCAGACGGCCTGATGGCTTCAGGGCAGCTGCTGCAGAGTCTGGCTGCTACTGTCTCACATAAGCGA